AAAGAAACCAACTGACGTTGTTAGGTCACAACTTTCGAAAGCACAGTTGGATACTCCTAATATTTAACAGAGAGGTAGAAGGGCCTATAAGGTTTTTTACTATGCATGTCAGATGGTGGTGATATAAGGATAGGAGGCACTGATTGCATTAGCTAAGATTAACATTGGAGAATGGGAACAAATAAAGAAGTATGACTGACATTCACAAGACTAAAGGCAACATGCCAAAGCTCACAGTGCAGCAATATGCCATACTAATATGCAGCTACTAAAATGGAAACTCTGTAGCCATCTGTAATTATTCCACATCCTCATTTGTCTGACCTGAAGGATGTCATAAGAAGTGAAATTGTTGACATCCCAGAGAATTTAATTGGAGCAATATACCCCCAAGCTATACATAAGTTGTTTCTAGTAGTGAAAATGAAATGAAAATGACCATGTGAACATTTACTATCCTATCATTTCTTTGTATAATTGTTATTTCTTCAATATTTACCTTTGCAATGCAAACACAGCCACCCTCCCCACATTCAGACCTCAGAAATGAGAAAAAGATACTATTATTGCATTCTAAGCATATGTGAGAGTGAGTTTGTCTCAGGTTTTCTCTGATGCTATCTGGACATTTCTTAGAGAACATTGATTACAAATGCCTGCATGAGGATCCAAGAATGTATACTCATGGAATTTAGTTGGATAATAGAAGAGCAATGGAAAACCACTCAAGGAGTGAAAGCAAATTACAAAGAACTGAAGCCTGAAGATGTCAGATCAATTAGCAAGTTATCAGGCAAGTATCCGAATGATGCTCTGCAGTGCAAGGTGTATCTTCATCTTGACAGTACATGGTTTGACCATCACTGTATGGTTCACTTCATGAAAGTGGACACTCATCCACTGATGCTTGGCATATAAGGGAGCACAAGCACTACATGTTTACTTAGGCTGTGAATGAGCCTTGAAGGGAGAGGGAATCCTTCTGAAATCAATTGATATTATTTATTCCTGACCATTCAAAGCTGTCCAGGTAGTAACATACATTACTGCTAAGTTAAAATATTTCTTCTTTCTGCTGGGTGGAAAATATGAGGGCTTAGAGAACTACTCCCTCATTGACATGCCTACTAAGACTGCTTAGTAGGTCATTCTGCATCCCTTGACTGGGATGTAATCAATACACTGCACCGTAAGTGCTCAGATTAATGCATGCATTTCTGAGATGTCTATTAATGAAAACAAAACCTATAGGCTTTCAAGACAAAAAAAAAGAAGAAAAAGACTACTTCTGGTGAAAATACCATCATATTCAATGCACCACCAGTGGAAAAGGGCATTTTATAATATCTCAATCTAGGGTGCATTTGTTTGCTCATGAGACAAAAGGAGGCCAGCATCACTCCGTTCATTCCTCAAAGTGCTATTATTTCATGGCATGAATGATTAAATAAAAAGTCATAGGCTCTTCAAATCTTTGACCCATTTTCAGGGTCAAAGATTGTGAGGGACCCAAAATATTTCAAATTTATCTCTCTTTTTCATTAAAACAATATAAGGAGGGCGAGTGAAACAAATTCTGACACTGCCATAAATTCTTCCCCTCCATCACATAGAGTAAGCACCCTGGTTTCTGGGCGGTCTCCAGTCATTGGTCAGTGAGGCTTAAATCCATCATAATTAGTTAATATGGTTGTTTTCAAGCATTCTATCAACATCTTCCCATACGAGGACCTATTACTAGTGTTTCCCGGTGTGCACACAGGGTGTCCACTTCCTATGGGAGTCTTATCAGCATGGTCAAAAACTGGGGCGTTTACCTTAATTAAATATAGCAAGAAACCTAATTCGCCTTTTTCAACCAAATTACACCTATGTCCAGTCAAAAAATGTGAATGAACATTACAAATATTTTCATCTTGAACAGTATAATCTCAAAACCATTAACTTCAAAACATAGCCAAGGGGATGGATTTTAACCTTAAGGGGGTCAGAATTGTCTCACTTGTCCTAAAACGTTGTATTATGAATTGCAAAATTAAGCAAAAAAAACAGCCTGTAGCACATGTTTGTGCATGTGGCATTATTTATTCCTGGTTTGGTACGCAAACATGGATTTTTATTTATCTCTCGTAGTTCTACCTCCACTTTACCATGCTGTCAGGGAGGCTGGACAATGGATGAAAACTTTCAATGTTTCACTGGAGTGAGGACTGGAATTAGCCCACTTCATAAGAGGCAGGTGACTCAGTGTCTGGGCCACCCTCCAGCAATTCTTCTCCATCCATTCATGAACAACAAATCTTGCAATAAAATAAAAATGTGCTTGAGACAGGCTTTGAAACTCTTACATGGTAATATATAGTAAAACGATTTTCAGTTACAATGTTTGAATAACATTAATTGCATGTAGCCAGAGGCAGCAGCCAAACAGAAAGGGTTTTCTTTTGGTATATCGCCATAGCAAATAAAAATCTCCTATTGCCATACCCATTTGTAATGCTAATATGTTTAACCCTAATCCAGCCAAGTGGATCCATTGGACCCATTTTTTACTTTCTCTAAATAAAAAGTTATGATCCCTTCTTATGTCAGACCAGATACTTCACCTAATCTTCCACCATGTACCCTCCTGTGAAATGGCCCATAATGTGAATTTTTAATTAGTTAGATGCTGGCTGGCTGTATGACATGAATACAATGTGGGTCCGTCAGACCCATCTTGGCTGTCTGCATTGCACCTTCCAGTTGGCCATATGAGGGTTAAGGATGCCAGATTAAGCCATTTGGGCAAGATTTTTCAGGTTTTTTAACACAAGGTCCCCTACTCAACACAAACTTGCACAACTTCATTCTGCTTGGAACTTTTAGAGGCATCATATAGATTCAATCACAGCATACATGAATGTGCCTAAAAAATACCATGGCAGGACATTTGATTTCCTTCTAATTACAATAAATTCAATAGGATTTTTAAGCCACTTCCATGCTAATTGCAGTATTATGGCTGCTCTTATTTAGGTTGATTCAGGAGAACTGCTTCTTCATCCTTAGACACTAAAGATGGAGATATTTCCTCTCTGGAGAAGACATTTTCCTCATTTGTCTACTGACATGATTTAACTTACTTTTCCAATCAAGGCAATAAGGTGGTTACTTGATTTACACTAACTGACCCTCACATTTCCATTATTTTTTTTCATCCATGAATATAATTCAAATCAAGAAAGAAAAACCTGTGCTCAATGAAAAGCTGGCTGTGCCTCTAATCACATGAAATGTCTTGTGATGCTGCTGAACAATAGAATACAACTCATGAGCATTGGCCTAATTGACTCAAGATTTAGACATCCCTCAAAAATGAAAGGGGTTACCAAAGATCAAAACATTATCCTAAAGATAATATTTTCTGATTTTAATTGGATATATGATGTCTACTTCCCAGAGCTCCTTCTCCTGCTTCAAGAAAGGAAGCTTGAGCGAGGAACCATTTTTCGAGAGCTGAGAACAGGCAATTGAGCATTCCTAATCCCAATAAGGAATTGACATAGGAAAATGCCAGAGCATATTGTAACAAAAAATCAGAACTGCACAAATGATTATAACTCCTATGTGGGAGTCATTGGCACAGTGCGAAGTGCCCCCCCCCCCCCCCCCCCCCCCACCCCCCCCCACCC